CAGGGACACGGCAGTGCCCTGAGTGCCAGGTTAAGTGGAAAAGAAGTCCCAGCCCCAGGGGACATATAGTCCTCTCAGAAATGCCTTGCTTGTAGCGGTCAGGACACCCCATGCAGGACACTGATTGGGCAGGCAGGCAGGCAGCTCACGAGGACCCCGGGGTGACCTCCCACCATGGGCCTCCCGTCCTAGGGTTCTCAGTGTAGACCAGATAACTCAGCTGAGTCCTCAGCTTCAGGCTGTGCCCGAGGCATCATTTTCAAGCAGTTGTGCGAGTCTGTGATGCCATTTCATTCAGCTCTGCGGCACGGACGACACCCGGAGGGTCCTCTGGAAAGTTCGGGACCTGCGGGCACTTGCTGCTGCCTCCGTGTTGTCAGTGTGACTGGAGGCTTAGCAGCCACCCGCATTCAGAGCCCTCACAGCCGCGTGCGACATTTCCTTCAGGAAGAGGGGACGTTTCAGCCACAGTTCTGGAAAGAGCAGCTTGACCTGAGACATCGGAGAGCCAGGCAGTCCTTCCTGGTGGGCAACTGAGTGACCCAGAAGGACCAGCCAGTACCCGTGATGTTTCTCTTAGTTTCTCACCCGGGAGCGTTCTAACTCTGCAGTGTTTCCTGGGGTACAGTTCCGTTCAGGAGCCTGCCCTGCTCTGGGGCAGCACGGTGAGGATGAACGCGCGGTGGGCAGTGTCGGGTTTTAGCCTAGGGTCGAGTCCAGGCAGTGGGATCTTTCAGAGTGTGTACAACCCCAGATACTGCCGGGTTGGACAGCCGTGTTCCAAAACCCAGTTGCAAGCAAGAATTTCCTGAGCCCGTGCGGCCTTGTGAGTCTTAGAGTCCAGATGGACCCCGTTGAAAACATGCACATTCCGCCTCAAATGTATCAACTCCGAAGGTCGTCAGAGACAGGTGTCCTAAGACCGCGGCTTGCGCTTCCAGAACTGTATCTCCACTTAGGGATCGCCTTTCTTTTCGTTTGTTTCCCTTTTCCCTGAAACTTCAGCGGGAAAAATGCTAGTAAAAGTCAGTTGTGAGACCTCATCTGACCTCTCATACTTAAATTCCAATCCATGCACCACGGGCAAAAAGCAAGGAAGTCTCACTGTCACTTAAAACTGATTGAGATGACCCCTGGCGTGTTTTGAAAATCGCAGAGATTGCCGTTTTCTCTCACTTCTGTCACTCACGCAGAAGCGGTAGTTAGGGTTCCTGGTCTCCTGGGGTTTCTGGTGGCCCCAGGTCTTCCTTCCTCGCGGCCCCGGAATTCTGTCTCTACTGCACCTTCACACGGCCGCCCCTTCCCGTGTGCTTCTGTCTTCATGTGACATTTTCCTCTTGTAAAGACACCAGTCGTATAGGAGTAGGGCCCATTGCATTAGAGGAGGTCATTTTCATTGATCACATCTGCAAAGACCCTATTTACAAATAAGGTGATAGTCACCGGGACCAGGAATTAGGACACGGGCACAGCTTTCTGGGGGACACTTACAGCGAACCTCTGGCCGTCCGTTCAGCGTTTACGGGGATGCCGTTGTGCTACCAGGGAGACCATGGCTGCTCAGGAGGTAGAGCAGCGGGAGGCAGGGAACCCTCCAGCCTTTCTTTTCCAACCAGCAGCAGGTGTTAAGAAGCCTGGCGTGCCCCCTGCTTCTCGGGGTTTACCTAGAACTTTTCTCCAGCCTTGGGAATCGGTTTAACTTTTTCCTTCCCTTCCAGCGCACCACAGACTTTCACCAACTTCCTCGCCCAAAGCTTAGCTTTCAGAACACGGACGCCCTTCCTCCTACCTGGAGGAGAGAACAAAAACCAAAGGCTGCTGTTGGTTTTCTCGTCTCCCAGCCTGCACGGCCAAAAGCGAGCCCGCCCTGCTGCAGCTGGATCTATCAGTTCTCGGTTCTCGCTCTGTCATCTGCTGACTCTCACAGCAGACAGCTCGGCCGTGTTTCAGACCATGAATAGACTCCACAGCCACGCATCCCCTACCCCTTCATCCTTCCTTTTCCCAAACAGTGCTTTTGCCCTATTTCAGTGAGTCAGTGTCATCCTAGCAATCCCACCTCTCGTGCCAAGTGTGTCAGCGACCCCAAGGCCACTCCTGCATCCTCCTGGTAGGAGTCACAGGGCACGACATACAGTCATCCTCAGGACTGTGCTCTGATTCGACAGAAGGGCCCGCAGCGGGGTCAGCAGTGGGAAGGGACGTGGGGAGAAGTGCACACGAAACCCGGTGGAGCTTTAAGGAGGGCTTTCCCAGGGGGTCATGCAGAGTGCCTCTGATTCCCCCAGCGACGAATTGTGACAACACATGTGAAGTGGCCACTGAAGAAGCTCCGTGGAGACTCACTGCCCGGGAATTTTTTTTTTTTTTAATGAAGTCTCTGTCACCCAGGCTGAAGTGCGATGGTGAATCTTGGCTCACTGCAACTTCCACCTCCTGGGTTCAAGCAGTTCTCCTGCCTCAGCCCCCTGAGTAGCTAGGACTACAGGCACGCACCACCACACCCGGCTAACCTTTGTATTTTTAGTAGAGCTGAGGTTACACCTGTTGGCCGGGCTGGTCTCAAACTCCTGACCTCAAGTGATCCCCCCGCCTCAGCCTCCCAAAGTGCTGGGGTGACAGGTGTGAGCCAGTGTCTGGCCAGTGCCCAGGCTTTTTGTTGCTGGCCGATGCCATGAGCGTCCTCTGCCTGGCATGTACAGATGGCATTTCCAGGAGAGCAGTTGTTGAGCAGTGTTTGCGGCATGAATAACGTGAGGTAGGGTGGCGTGAACCTTCCCAAGACGCAGGGTCCCAGACACCAGCTAAGGGCAGCATTGCCAGGAAGCCTTCAGTGTTAACGCCTTTCTGCGTAGGGTAACTTTATTTTTAAAACACTGCAAATACTGCACTGTGAGCTGTTGGAGCCCACCTAGGCCGGTCACAGCGAATAATCTACTGCACTGTGAGCTGTTGGAGCCCACCCAGGCCGGTCACAGCAAATAATCTACTGCACTGTGAGCTGTTGGAGCCCACCCAGGCCGGTCATGTTGTTCCCTGCACCAATACTAGGGTGCTTTACATCCTCTGCTGCTCTACTGAGCAGGCATGTTCTAGCATCAGAATTGCTATGTGACAGTATTCTGTCTCCTGCTCACGGATGTTAGTGAGTTTATCTTTTTCAGAGAGCAGAGTTTGAAGAAAGCATACATCTCAGTGATTCCTGTGCTCAGGGGCTGAGCTGTCATGCACCTGTGTCCCATATGGAATATGGAAATGAGGAGTAGAGAGTGCAGCCTCTAGACAGATATGTGGGGCGTCACTTCCTCCTGGAACTGGAGACATGGAACTTTGTAGGAAGGCACTGTTGAGTCCTCTCTGTCTTTTCTAACCATGGCTAATTCATAGTCAAGTGGTTTGGACTTCAGTTAACTCCTTTGCAAAGTGGGACTCTTACCTTATCCTTAAGATTAGCAAGAATTAATTTTTTTTTTTTTTTTTTTTTGAGACTGAGTCCCACCCGATCACCCAGGCTGGAGTGTAATGGCGTGATCTCGGCTCACTGCAACCTACGCTTCCCAGGTTCAACCGATTCTTGTGCCTCCGCCTCCTGAGTAGCTGGGACTACAGGCATGCACCACCAATGCCTGGCTGATTTTTTTTTTTTTTTTGCATTTTTAGTAGAGGTGGGGTTTTACTATGTTGGCCAGGCTGATCTTGAACTCCTGACCTCAAATGATCTGCCCATCTCAGCCTCCCAAAGTGCTGGGATTACAGGAATGAGCCACCATGCTGGCCCAAGAATCCTTTTTCTTGGCTCTGGTGAAGAGAGTTGTTTTGGCATTGTATACTCACTGTGTGTATATTTAGTGAGTGTGCCTGTGTGTGTGTGAGAGAGAGCACACACATGCACCCACACGTGTGTGAGACAGCACACGCATGGACCCACACGTGTGTGAGACAGAGCACACGCATGCACCCACACGTGTGTGAGACAGAGCAATCACTCAGAACTCATTTTTGGGCTTCCGTCACTGAGGCTTGGACTGTTGGGAACGTGTGGAGTTCTACGTTCTCATGTCTTTCTCTTTCCTAACGTCTAATTTCTCAATATCTTCTAGTTTCCGAGTTAAAATTAATACATCTCAAAAGAATGTTTTCATTCAGCCAGTTGGACCTTGAGTCCTCTAAGACGCTACCTGACCCTCGTTGCAGCTCGGGTCCTCTCATCAAACCCCTTGGCCTGATGTTTGGTGAAGGAGGCAGAAGGGAATGTTAGTCCTTCAGTGTTTTTTTGGTTTGGTTTTGTTTGAGATGGAGTGTCACTCTGGTCCCCTAGGCTGGAGTGCAATGGTGTGATCTCAGCTCGCTGCAACCTGCGCCTCGCAGGTTCAAGCGATTCTCCTGCCTCACCCATCCTGAGTAGCTGGGACTACAGGTGCCAGCCACCACGCCCGGCTAATTTTTGTACTTTTGGTAGAAACAGGGTTTCACCATGTTGGCCAGGCTGGTCTGGAACGGGTGACCTCGGGTGATCAGCTCGCCTCGGCTTCCCAAGGTGCTGGGATCACAGGCATGAGCCCCCGCACCCGGCCAGTGTTTTGATCCCTTAAAACTTCGTTCAGTTGTGACCCTGTGCTTTCTGTGTTGCCACATGAAGTTGGGTATAGCAGGGAAGGAGCTGAAACGGTTTGGGTGGCAAGGGATTGCTGGTCTTAGAATGCAGATATTGGTTTCATCTTTATAGCATTTGTTTGACAGCTCCAGTGTGGCCTGGGCTTGTGGTAGAGAGTCATGTCTTCAGTGGTCACAGTGGAAGTACAGAGGTAAATTCAGTGTGTTAATGGTCCTTTGAAATCTGTGAGAAAGTGAGTGTAGACAGGATGGAAAAGGTGACAGCTGCGTCTCAGGGTAGATGTCAGGGCACCACAGAGTCTTGTTTGAACTACGTACGAATTGAGCACCGTGCTCGTGGGCTGCCAGTCTCAACCATCCTCCCATAAATATGTTGAATGTCTTAGGACTCAGTGGTCTTTGAGGACGTGGCTGTGGACTTCACCCTGGAGGAGTGGGCTTTGCTGGATTCTGCTCAGAGGGACCTCTACAGAGATGTGATGCTGGAAACCTTCTGGAACCTGGCCTCAGTAGGTAAGGATGATGTCGTTCCTTCCTTCACTTACTTAGAGAACAAGTATTTCTTACACATCAGACCTGTTCCAAGGCTTGGAATGTGGAAAGGGAATCAGTTGGAAAATGAGACAGAGGTAGTCACTGCTGTCGTAGAACTAGGATGTAATAGCTTTTCCATGAGAAGGAGAATCTGTGTTTTTCTTTTTGGAAACGAAGTCTCACTCTGTCACCAGGCTGGAGTGCAATGGTGTGATCTTGGCTCATTGCAATGTTCACCTCCTGGGTTCAAGCCATTCTCCTGCCTCAGCCTCCCGAGTAGCTGAGACTACAGGTGCACATCATCACACCCAGCTATGTTTTGTATTTTTTTTTTTTGCTCCCCTCCCTGTGTCCATGCATTCTCATTGTTCAACACCCGCCTATGAGTGAGAACATGCGGTGTTTGATTTTCTGTTCTTGTGTCAGTTTGCTAAGAATGATGTTCTCCAGGTTCATCCATGTCCCTACAAAGGACACAAACTCATAGTTTTTTATGGCTGCATAGTATTCCATGGTGTATATGTGCCACATTTTCCCTGTCCAGTCTATCATTGATGGGCATTTGGGTTGGTTCCAGGTCTTTGCTATTGTAAACAGTGCTGCAATGAACATTCGTGTGCATGTGTCCTTATAGAAGAACGATTTATAGTCCTTTGGATATATACCCAGTAATGGGATTGCTGGGTCAAATGGAATTTCTATTTCTAGGTCCTTGAGGAATCACCACACTGTCTTCCACAATGGTTGAACTAATTTACACTCCCACCAACAGTGTAAAAGTGTTCCTATTTTTCCACATCCTCTCCAGCATCTGTTGTCTCCAGATTTTTTAATGATCGCCATTCTAACTGACGTGAGATGGTATCTCAATGTGGATTTGATTTACATCTCTCTGATGACCAGTGATGATGAGCATTTTTTCATATGATTGTTGGCCTCATATATGTCTTCTTTTGTAAAGTGTCTGTTCATGTCCTTCCCCCACTTTTGAATGGGCTTGTTTGTTTTTTTCTTGTAAATCTGTTTTAATTCTTTGTAGATTCTGGATATCAGCCCTTTGTCACATGGGTAGATTACAAAAATCTTTTCCCATTCTGTTGGTTGCTGATTCACTCTAGTGACTGTTTCTTTTGCTGTGCAGTGTTTTGTTTTTTTTTTTTTTTTTTTTTTTGGTAGAGACACCATGTTGGCCAGGTTGGTCTCGATCTCTTGACCTTGTGATCTGCCTGCCTCAGCCTCCCAAAGTGCTGCAATGACAGATGTGAGTCACCACGCCCAACTGAGAATCTGTGTATTAAGCTGACTTTTTCTTTTTGTAAACGAAGCTCCTTTCATGTCATCATCGTGGATGTGGCTTTCATAGGCCTCGTGAAGTTTGTTTTTGCAAGCCAGTGAAAATTTCATTATTTTTTCAAAATAATTTTTCTGTGTTTACCAATATTGTGTTTATTGAGTTGCTTTTACCATTTTGACCCTTTTGTGTTTGATGAAGCCCTGAGACAGCTGAACTCCTCAGTGTCATTTTCACCTAACAAGTGCCTCTGACATGATATGTTTACTTCTTGGTTTCAGATGATGAAACTCGGTTTAAGGCCAGTGGGTTAGTTTCTCAGCAGCATATTTATGGAGAAGAAATACCCAAGGAATCTGAAATAGCAGAGTTCACCAGAAATGTTTCCTGGGCCTCTATTTTGGGAAAAACTTGGGACGATCTTAGCGTTGAAGATCAGCATGCAAACCAGGGGAGAAATCGCAGGTGAGTTTAACTCACAAGAGAACACAGTATTCAGGAGAGCATCTTAGTCTGCCATTAAACTTTAAATAAGCAAGCAAACGAAAACCCTTATAACCCTAGCTGCAAATGTATTCAATCCACGGAACTTTTACAAAAAATATTTATTTAAATGTGGCAAAGATACTGAGTGTCAGAAACATAATTCAGATGGAAACCGTTATCAAGAAACCTTAGGATGGGCATGGTGGCTCACGCCTGTAATCCTAGCACTTTGGAGGCTGAGGTGGGCATATCACTTGAGGCCAGCTTGGGCAGCATGCTGAAACCCCATCTCTACTAAAAATAAAAAATTGGCAAGGTGTGGTGGTGCAGGCCTGTAATTCCAGTTACTTGGGAGGCTAAGGCAGAATTGCATGAACCCAGGAGGCAGAGGTTGCAGTGAGCTTAGACTGCACCACTGCACTTCAGCCTGGGTGACAGAGTGAGACTCTGTCTCAGAAAAAAAAACCCTGTACATAAGAAACATCAATTTTTTTTTTTTCTTTTTTGAGACAGTCTTGCTATGTTGCCCAGGCTAGAGTTCAGTGGCATGATCTTGGCTCATTACAATCTTCTCCTCCTGGGTTCAAGCAATTCTCCTGCCTCAGCCTCCTGAGTAGCTGGGATTACAGGCCCCCACCAACATGGCAAGCTAATTTTTCTATTTTTAGTAGAGACAGGATTTCACCATCTTGGCCAGGCAGCCCTTGAGATCTTGACCTCGAAGAAACCTTGACCTCGAAGCCCTCGAAGGTCTTGACCTCGAAGATGGTCTGACCGTCTTCCAGAGCATTCACTTTATCTCATTTTCAGACAATTCAGATAGGATGAAAGACCTACACTTTCACTGGAAATGGTTAAAATGCAGTCCTATTACTTCCTAATAGATACTAACAAATCATCATTAATAAAACCATCAGTACCGTGCTTCTCATTTTCAGTAGAAGTCACGTGTTGGAGAGAGTCTGCCTAAGTCACGGTCAGTGTGGAGAAGGCTTCCGCCAGATTCCGGATCTGCATCCATACCAGAACATTCCTCCTGGAGTGAACCGGTACGAATACAACGCATACGGAAAAGTCTTCATGCGTCACCACACATCCCTCAGGAGTCCCGTCACGGTTCACACTGGACGCAAACCGCATCAGTGCCAGGAATGCGGGCAGGCCTACAGTTGCCGTTCACACCTAAGAATGCACGTGAGAACCCACAATGGAGAGAGACCCTACGTGTGTAAATCATGCGGGAAAACCTTCCCTCGTACGTCTTCCCTCAATCGGCATGTACGGATCCACACTGCTGAGAAAACCTACAAATGTAAGCAATGTGGGAAAGCCTTCATTGACCTCTCCAGTCTTACTAGTCATCTCAGAAGTCACACTGGCGAGAAGCCATATAAATGTAAGGAATGCGGGAAAGCTTTTAGTTACTCCTCAACGTTTCGAAGACACACAATAACACACACTGGAGAGAAGCCGTATAAATGTAAGGAATGTGGGGAAGCCTTTAGCTATTCCTCCACTTTTCGAAGACATAGGATTTCACACACTGGAGAGAAGCCACATAAATGTAAAGAGTGCGGGGAAGCCTTCAGTTATGCTTCGGCTTTTCGAAGACACATGATCACGCATACTGGACAGAAACCCTATGAATGCAAACAGTGTGGGAAAACCTTCATTTATCTCCAGTCCTTTCGAAGACACGAAAGGATTCACACGGGGGAGAAACCCTACGAATGCAAACAGTGTGGGAAAACCTTTATTTATCCCCAGTCCTTTCGAAGACATGAACGCACTCATGGTGGAGAGAAGCCCTATGAATGTGACCAGTGCGGGAAAGCGTTCAGTCATCCCTCATCCTTCCGCGGACACATGAGAGTGCACACGGGAGAGAAACCGTATGAGTGCAAGCAGTGTGGGAAAACTTTTAATTGGCCCATATCTTTACGAAAACATATGAGAACACACACTAGGGAGAAACCCTATGAATGTAAGCAGTGTGGGAAAGCCTTCAGTTTGTCCGCCTGCTTTCGGGAACACGTGAGAATGCACCCCGAAGACAAATGCTATGAATGCAAGCTGTGTGGGAAAGCGTTCTATTGCCACATATCCTTACAGAAACATATGAGAAGGCACACCGCAGAGAAACTCTATGAGTGCACGCAGTGTGGGAAAGCCTTCAGCTGGCCTGAACTTTTGCAACAACACGTGAGAACACACACCGTAGAGAAGCCCTACGAATGTAAGGAATGTGGGAAAGTCTTCAAATGGCCGTCATCTTTACCAATACACATGCGACTGCACACCGGAGAGAAGCCTTACAAATGTAAGCATTGTGGGAAAGCATTTAATTGCTCTTCATCCTTAAGACGACATGTGAGAATACACACCACAGAAAAACACTACAAGTGCCGTGTGGGACACCCTCCTGCAAGTGAATTCAGGTGCCGTGCTTCAGAACAGCCCCACCAGGAACGAGAGCAGACCAAAGCTGCCGTTGTGAGTTCCTGATCCTGAAAGGGCACAGGTAGGGGTTTGTCTGTAGTTCCTTTGCAAGCACACATGCAGGAAAAGTCATTCTCTAACTACTCTTAGCTATTCTACATGAATTTTAACATGTAGGTTTTTTTTCCTTACAATTAGTAAATAAAACTTTACTCTTACGTTTTTTGGACTCATGGATGATTTGAAGTATATTATAATATGGAAGTAGGTTCAGGTTTAATTTCTTAAATTGTAACTGACTTAGTGTGGCAGATACTGGGTCTCACTTCCCTGTTCTATTTCCCACCTTTCTTCCTGGGAGTGTTTGTGTTGTTTGCCCAGAGGAGCCTTATTCCATCTTCTTTCTAAGAAGCAGTTGGCAGAATTTTGTAATTATGCAAACTTGTTTAAAGAGTGTAGTCTCAAATGAATTGGTTTGTTTTTTTTTTTTTGAGACAGAGTTTCGCTCTTGTTACCCAGGCTGGAGTGCAATGGCGCGATCTCGGCTCACCGCAACCTCCGCCTCCTGGGTTCAGGCAATTCTCCTGCCTCAGCCTCCCGAGTAGCTGGGATTACAGGCACGCGCCACCATGCCCAGCTAATTTTTTGTACTTTTAGTAGAGACGGGGTTTCACCATGTTGGCCACGATGGTCTTGATCTCTTGACCTCGTGATCCACCTGTCTTGGCCTCCCAAAGTGCTGGGATTACAGGCTTCAGCCACGACGCCCAGCCTGACCCTATTGCATTTTTAAGGGTGCTGGCCCAGTCCTATGTGAAACAAAATACCTTCCTCAGATACCATAATTAGGAAGATTTCTACTACTCAGCGCTAAATGCAATTTCCTGATACGGGTTAAATTATTACATTTGATTATGTGTCATTAAGGTGGATTTTGTTTCAAGGAAAACATTCTGTAGATATTTCTTAGAAATATCCTATTTAGTCAGGCACAGTGGCTCACGCCTGTAATCCCAGCACTTTGGGAGGCTGAAGTGGGCAGATCACTTGAAGTCAGGAGTTCGAGACCAGCGCGGTCAACATGGTAAAATTAGCTAGGCCTGGTGGTGAGTGCCTGTAATCCCAGCTACTTGGAAGGCTGAGGCAGGAGAATCGCTTGAACCCGGGAGGCAGAGTTTACAGTGAGCCGAGATCACACTGTTGCACTCCAGCCTGGGTGACAGAGAAAGACTCCATTTTGAAAGCAAAAAAATAAAAAGAAGTATCCTATGTACTGTGCTTTGAAATTAGTGGCCTAGACTAAAGTATAGGGTCTTTGTTGTCATATAAATGTTATTTTAAATTGCTATATACTTAACAACATTTGACATTAAAATGATTTTTTTCTTTTTTTGAGATACAGTCTCATTCTGTTGCCCAGGCTGGAGTGCAGTGGCATGACCTCGGCTCACTGCATCCTTCATGTCTCAAGTTCAAGTGATTCTCCTGCCTCAGCCTCCCCAGTAGCTGGGATTACAGGCACGCACCACCACACCCAGCTAATTTTTGTATTTTTGGTAGAGACGGGGTTTCGCCATGTTGGCCAGGCTGGTCTTCAACTCCTGACCTTAGGTGATCTTCCCACCTTGGCCTCCCAAAGTGCTGGGATTACAGGCATGAGCCACTGTGCCCGGCCTAAAATGATTTCTTGTTTGTGGTTAATAACAATTAAAAAGCATTGGCCGGGCGCGGTGGCTCACGCCTGTAATCCGAGCACTTTGGGAGGCCGAGGCGGGTGGATCACATCAAGAGATCAAGACCATCCTGGTCAACATGGTGAAACCCCGTCTCTACTAAAAATACAAAAATTAGCTGGGCGTGGTGACGCATGCCTGTAATCCCACCTACTCGGGAGACTGAGGCAGGAGAATTGCCTGAACCCAGGAGGCGGAGGTTGCGGTGAGCCGAGATCGCGCCATTGCACTCCAGCCTGGGTAACAAGAGCGAAACTCCGTCTCTAAAAACAAAAACAAACAATTAAAAAGCATAAAATCGCCTTATGAGGTTTTGTCAATGCCCTCTACCCAGAAACCACCAGAATCGCACTGGTAGTCAAAAGAAAATTCGCTGAATTGAAATTTGAACACATGGTCAAGAAAGGGCTGTGGCTTTTATCAGTCAGAGGGCGTTTTAAAAGGGTTTACTGTCAGATTTGGTCTTACGTTCTGTGATTTGGGTTAGTGTTCAAGGGAGCCAGGATTTGGTCGGGATTGGATGATCTCAGGTCATGAATATAATTCTCTGGGAACCCCCAAAGTTCTCATCTACGAAGCAGAAGTTAAGTGGAGCTGAAAACTAATCAGTAAGACAGCGCCAGCCAGCCACACTGGGGAGACGAAGGGAATGTTTGGTCATTTCTGTGGTTTAGAGGTGAGCTCCAAAACCAAAGAAGACGTATTTGACATCCTCAATTGAGCAAATTTTTCACGTGTTTTATAGGGCCAAGGAGGCAGAAGCTTTTAGTTTTTCATTTTTTTGTTTTTTTTTTTTGAGACGGGAGTTTTGCTGTTGGTACCGAGACTGGAGTGCAATGGCGCGATCTCGGCTCACCGCAACCTCCGCTTCCTGGGTTCAGGCAATTCTCCTGCCTCAGCCTCCCGAGTAGCTGGGATTACAGGCACGCGCCACTGTGCCCAGCTAATTTTTTGTATTTTTAGTAGAGACGGGGGTTTCACCATGTTGACCAGGATGGTCTCGATCTCTTGACCTCGTGATCCACCCGCCTCGGCCTCCCAAAGTGCTGGGATTACAGGCGTGAGCCACCACGCCCGGCCACTTTTAGTTTGAATGAGCCAGAAAGTCCCACAATCCTATTTAAGTTTTCCTAGGTATCATTTCAACCCCTGAACTTCCAGAATGGACTAGGGAAGAGTTGTCTAAAAGGGCAAACAATATTCAGTAATCTCCATTACTTCGCATGTTAACGTGTTTTCATAGCGCTCCGTACATTAATGTGGTTTCACAGTCAGCTGTATCTCTAACGCCCCCTTACCCATCATTCCCTCTCAGCTGAAGAAGTTAAGCACAGGGAACACAGAGGCTTGTACATTGACGTCGCTCATGATGACGAAATCAAGTTTGAAGGCTTACTCTGTGCTTAAAATTGTCGTTTTTTAACTTAAATTTAGAACACTAGAAAGTAGGAATAATTACTCAGTTTTACAAATAGGGTATGAAGTTTTACAAAAAGACTCCTACGGCTCTATGGTATTCCTTTTATAAGACATGGAGGCTGGGCGTGGTGACTCACGCCTGTAATCCCAGCACCTTGGGAGGCAGAGGCGGGCGGATCACGAGGTCAAGAGATCGAGACCATCCTTGCCATGATGAAACCCCATCTCTACTAAAAATACAAAAATTAGCCGGGTGTGGTGGCTCATGCCTGTAGTCCCAGCTACTCGGGAGGCTGAGGCTGAGGTGGAAGAATCACTTGAACCCAGGAGGTGGAGGTTACAGTGAGCCGAGATTGCACCACTGCACTCCAGCCTGGCAACAGAGCAAGACTCCATCTCAAAAAAACAAAAAAAAAAGACATGGAAAAGGCAAAGATAAACAAACACATCGCTGGTTAGAAGTGGGGGGTTGGGCCAGGCGCAGCAGCTCACGCCTGGAATCCCAGCTCTTAGGGATGCAGAGGTGGGAGGTTACCTGGAGCCCAGGAGTTTGAGACCTGCCTGGGCAATAGAGTGAGACCCCATTCTCAACAAAAAGGAAAAAGAAGAGGGGGGTTTGAGTACAAAGGGGCGTAAGTGTGTTCTCAGGATTGTAGTGGTGTGAACAAGCATTTATGAAAACCCATAAGGCTGCTCTTAAAATAGCACATTTTGCTGTATGTCGATTTTAAAGTTAACAATAAAAATGCTTTGAGTATGTTAAGGAACTCAAGACCAGGTCCGGTGGCACATGCCTATCATCCCATCACTTTGGGAGGCTGAGGCGGGAGGATCGCTTGTGACGAGGTCGTCGAGGCTGCAGTGAAACTGTGATCGCGCACTGCACTCTACCCTGGGCGACAGAGCAAGACCCTGTCTGGAAAGAAAAAAAAAGGAATTCAAAACTGTCCTGAAGCTTGATATGTAAGTCTGCAAGAAGACTTTTCCGTAGCTGGGTGCAGTGACTCATGCCTGTAATCTCAACACTTTGGGAGACTGAGGCAAGAGGATCACTTGAGGTTAGGAGTTCGAGATCAGTCTGTGCGACAAAGCGAGACCTCAATTCTACGGAAAAAAAAAAATAAATGTGAGCCAGGCGTGGTGGTGCACGTCTGTGGTTCCAGCTACTTGGCAAGCTGAGGCGGGAGGATCACTTGAGACCTGAGGGAACCATGATTGTGCCACCACACTCCAACTTGGGCAGCAGAGCAAGACTGTCTCAAAAAAAAAAAAAAAAACCACAAAAACGTTTCCTCCACCATCTTGGGACTCTCCTCTGAAGGAACGCAGGGCCTCGTCAGACCCTGTTTGAAGCAGTGTGAAGTTCTGAAATATACCAAGGGCCACACCTGACTTCATGTCATACCTACAACAGAAAAGGGAGGTCTTCCAGAATCTGTGAGTTTACACCAGGTCCTTCCCGCCTGATCTTTGGGAATATTGCGGTTCTGAAACACGGAACGGGAACCCCACACTTCTTCCCGGGAACGCCGCTGCCTGGGGGCGTCCTGATCCTGTCTTCAGACAAGGGGCATCCGCATCTTGTCTTCCGGGGTTTTTCTTGCGGCCATTTCCAGCTTCAGAGTTCCCGTCTCGAGTTCAGCTCTGTGTCTTCACGCTGGGAAACGTCTTTATGGCTCCCCAAACTCCGCTTGCTGTCGGGAACACGTGGCAGCCCCACGTGGTGAGGTGAGGTGGAAGCCGTGGCAGAGCCCCTGCCGTGGAGACACGCGCCCGTCGGCCACAGCAGCTCCTGCTAGTCCAGGAATCCACACGCCCCAGAGTGTCAACGTCTCCCATGACATCACAAAGACGCCCGGCTGGGACCCACCCACGGGCGGGCAAACAGGCACTGCTCCCCACCGTCTCACTGTCACGTGACGTGGCTTATCTGCGCACTCAGGCTGTGACACCCCAGGAGGTGCCCACCGTGCCCGAAGCTCCCTACCCGCCTCCTCCCCACACCAGGATGCGTCTTACTGACGCCCGCCAGAGCGCATGCGCACTTCTCAGGCGCAGCCCCACCGCGCAAGGCCTCTCAGCCCATTGGCCCCTCAGTCTCCAGAAGCCCCGCCCTGCAGGAGGCAACACGGGCTCGCGTCTGAAACAGCTGTGCTTTGGAGCTGCCTGGGAATTTCTGCCTTCCACGCAGTGCGCAGGCGCACTCAGGCGAGGAGGTGGGCGACCGGAAGGAAGCGGAGACCGCAGGAGTGGTACCGGAAGTGACGGAAGCGCTCCTCTTTCCCCCCCTCCGCTTCCGGCGTGGCGGACCCCGGCTGTAGCGTGTCTGCGGCGGTGAGACAGCCTGCGCGTCAGATGCCTCCATCCTACAACGGCGGATGTCCTGGAGCGCACACGACAGACCGGAAGGACCCTGATTGTTCAAGGGAACATCCACGGCAAGTAGGAGGTGTGAATATGGTGACGTCAGAGGTGACTGCCAAAAAAAAGGACATGGCAGCCGAGCCAGGGAGAGGTACCAGCGATGTCCTGACTGAGCTCCCTGGGTCTGGTAGTGAGGAGCTCATTCTTAGAACTTCGAGCCGCGTGACGGGCTACAGCACCCTGAGTCTTGTCATGTCAGGGACCCAGGTTCCTATGTAGATGGGGCTCAGGAAGGCTCCCGCTGTTGCAGAATATTTAGGAGACCAGAGAGACCCCCACTGGGTGAAACAGGAGGATTTTATTTATTTATTTTATTTTATTATTATTTTTTAAGATGGGGTTTCACCATGATGGCCAGGCTGGTCTTGAACTCCTGACCTCGGGTGATCCGCCCACCTCGGCCTCCCAAAGTGCTAGGATTACAGGCGTGAGCCACCGCTCCCGGCCTTACAGGAGGATTTTATTGAGATGGCCACCGGCTCAGCAGATTGGCATCTCAAGGCTGAGCGAAGGGGAAAGAAAATGGGGTACTTTATACATCCAAGCGGAGGCAGCAGCTAACAGCTTTACCGAAGCCAGAACACAGAACAGTTAATTCATTTGTAACACGCCTTATGTTCATCACCTACGTGGTGTCCCAGGCGCTGCAGTGAACAGAAGTGACAAAATATCCTTGTTCCCTTGAAGCGAATGCAGTAGGGGACAGAAAAACAAAACAGGAGAACGAGGGATGCAAGTCAAGGACACGTTGTATGGACAGTGGTAATTCCCAAGAAGAAAAAGGTGGGGAAAGGGGTGCAGAGGGCGTGGACTGTGGGAGTCTGTGGGATAGTCTGTTACTGCCTCCGGGGCTCTCCTGAGGGTGCTTGGGTGTGTCCACCTGTTTTTCCTAGTGACAAAGTCTGGGTGATTCTGTGGGGACAAATATTGGTGTGTCTGGGCAGTGCCGTGTGTCTTGGTGGTGGTCCCTGTCTTCAGGAAGGAGAGTCTGAATGTCCATGCGCCTCACTGCACGGCTGTGTTTCTGTGTCTGTTTCCCAGTCTTTGTGTGATGAAATATAAAGACTCATAGAGTTATTAATGAATTAAATTCTTCCAATATATAGTTAAAAAAAAAAGCATCACAGTTTTTTTGGTAAGTTTGAGTGAATTTTGGGGGGGCGGTGGTTAGGGTGGGGACAGAGTCTCGCTCTGTTGCCCAGGCTGGAGTGCAGTGGCGTGATCTTGGCTCACTGCAACCTCCGCCTCCAGGTTCAAGCAATTCTTGTGTCTCACTCTCCCAAATAGCTGGGATTACAGGGGTGCGCCACCACGCCCGGCTAATTTTTTTGTATTTTTAGTGGAGGTGGGATTTCACTATGTTGGCCAGACTGGTCTTGAACACCTGATCTCAAGTGATCCTCTGCCCACTTCGGCCTCCCAAAGTGCTGGGATTACAGGTGTGAGCCACCATACCTAGCCTCAAATTGATTTTTTAAAGTTTGGTGTTCATTGTTTATGTAAAAACAGCAATTGGGCAGGGCCCAGAGGCTCACACCTGTAATCAGCAGGTTACAAGGCCAAGGCAGGCGGATTCCTTGAGCGAAGGAATTCAAGACCAGGTTGGACAACTTGAAGAAACCCCATCTCTGCAAAACATACGAAAACTACCCGGTGTGGTGGTGCTCGCCTGTAGTCCCAGCTACTCAGGAGGCTGAAGCTGGAGGATAGCTCGGGCCCAGGAGGTCAGGGCCGCAGTAAGCCGTGATTGTGCCACTGCACTCCAGCCTCGAAATAAGAGCAAGACCCCAACTCAAACAAACCCGGTCTCAAAACAAACGCACAATTGCTATATTTTATTTTAAAATACTTTATAAACCAAATGATTGGAATTATTAACAGGAAGCCTGTTTTCTACATGCTAATCCTTTACACTAATTTTTATGGAAGTGGCCAGTACTTTCTGTAAATCATAAAACATGAATGTTTTCTTCAGTTGCTTTGTCAGTAAATAATATCAGAGTTTGTACTTCCCCTGGCTTTTAAATAGGAAAGTATTAGGGCCGGGCGTGGTGGCTCATGCCTGTAATCCCAGCACTTTGGGAGGCCGAGGCCATCCTGGTCAACATGGTGAAACCCCGTCTCTACTAAAAATACAAAAATTAGCTGGGCATGGTGGCGCGTGCCTGTAATCCCAGCTACTTGGGAGGCTGAGGCAGGAGAATTGCCTGAACCCAGGAGGCGGAGGTTGCAGTGAGCTGAGATCGTGCCATTGCACTCCAGCCTGGGTAACAAGAGAGAAACTCCGTCTCAAAAAACAAAAAAAAAAAAAAAAAAAAAGGAAAGTATTTTCAGAAATGGGAACATATAAAATGCATGAGGAGTTTTGACTCAAGTCCCCAGTGATTGATGGAGGCCAGCCAACCCTCTGTTGCACCCCAGAACCTGCCATTAAATTTCAAATAGAGGATCAGAAACTACACTTCTAAACTGACGTTGGTCCCACTTTCCCCGCCGGCTTCTCAGAGGACGCGTCTCTCCTTTTAATTCTGTTGACACTGTCGGAGTCTGAGGCGACTGGTTTCATTACCCCATCTCAGGCCACGCCAACAGCCTCAGTCTTGCTTAACGCTCGTCATAGCGTTCTGGTTTCCGAAGCCTCACTGGAAAACTTTCTAGGTAGAGATTTGTCACATAAATGTAATGCCATCATACACGATAACGAGACAGGTGTTTCTATTCCCCTGCCCTCAGAACAAACCTCCAACTCTCTGTTTTCCCTGAGACTCATCCTCTGAAGAGGACGCATCCAGAGTGATGTTCCAGTGACTTCCAGTGACCGCTGTTCCAGTTACTCTTTATTTTTAGGCTGGGCGCGGTGGCTCACGCCTGTAATCCTGGCACCTTGGAGGGCTGAGGCGGGCGGATCGCCTGAGGTCAGGAGTTTGAGACCCGCCTGGCCAACAGTGAAATCCCGTCTCTACTAAAAATACAGAAATCAGCCAGGCGTGGTGGCAGGAGCCTATAGTCCCAGCTGCTCGGGAGGCTGAGAATTAGAATCGCTTGAACCTGGGAGGTGAAGGCTGCAGTGAGCCAAGATCACGCCACTGCACTGCAGCCTGGGCGACAGAGTGAGACTCCATCTCAGAGAAGTAAAAAGAAGGTCTTAAAAGTGCGTTCAGATGCAGCCATCTTGGGGCACTGCAGAGAGCCAGGAAGATGTGTCGTTAGCGTTCCAGGGCATCTTTTCAAATATTTCAGTAATGTTGTAGATCCTTTTAGTCCACTGTCTCATTTGTTATTTGTGAAACCTTCCCAGTACCCACATGCAGGCGGCAGCCCCTTTAAGGGAACGTAACTCTCTCTGGCTGGCCAGTAAATGGCCCCGAATCAAGCACTCATGGGGGTCCCGTCTGGGAGCGCTGCCCTCAGGGAAGGCATCTAAAGCATTTGCTTTCTGCTGCATGTGGTTGGAGTGTTTTGCACGTTTTCTGATGGCTTCATGATTTATTTGAGTTGACAGGATGATGTGTGCCTGAGGCAGTGCCTGGGATCCTGTCATGGCCCTAAAAATATGTGCAATTATCAGAAATGAGCACACTGTCAAGAGGAGGTTTGAGGGTGGGCGTGAGGTGTGGCAGGGACTCCCTCTTCGGGGCCTGCGGGTCTCCCAAGCATAGACATTTTTTAAAATCTCCAGTTTCTTCAAGGGAAATTTTCATCACCTAGTTAGCCCCAACAAATAAATGAGCAACTTGATAAGCAAGAAGGTAACAGTAGCCTAAACAATATCGAAGGAAGCTAGAATGGTGGGATGTTCAGTTCCCCTGTAGAAACTACAGATGGCCAGGCATGGTGGCTCTGGCCTGTTAGTCCAGCACTTTAGGAGGCTGAGGCAGCAGGAGGATCACTTGAGCCTGGGAGTTTGAGACCAGCCCGGACGACATGGCAAAATCCTGTCTCTCCAAAAAAAAGAAAAAAGAAATTAGCCTGGCCTGGTGGTGCGTGCGTGTGTGCATGTCCAGCTATCTGGGAAGCTGATGTGGGAGGACTGCTTGAGCCCAGGAAGCCGGAGATTGCAGTGAGCTGTGATCACGCCTCTGCACTCCAGCCTGAGCAACACAGTGAGACCCCATCTCAAAAAAGGAACACTGGCCGGGCACGGTGGCTCACGCCTGTAATCCCAGCACTTTGGGAGGCCAAGGCGGGTGGATCACGAGGTCAAGAGATCGAGACCATCCTGGTCAACATGGTGAAACCCCGTCTCTACTCAAAATACAAAGACTAGCTGGGCACGGTGGCGCATGCCTGTAATCCCAGCTACTCGAGAGGCTGAGGCAGGAGAATTGCCTGAACCCAGGAGGCGGAGGTTGCGGTGAGCCGAGATCACGCCATTGCACTCCAGCCTGGGTAATGAGAGAAACTCCATCTCAAAAAAAAGGTATTTCCTCCTGTTACAAAATCACTGTGGTCCCATTAGCAATCATGACTTTACCTTTAAAAAATCATCCCTTCGGTTTCTTCCAAGTTAAAAGAAAAAAAAAAAATCCCTAAATGTTATCCACACTTTTCTTCTGGGAGGTGGTATGGAATAGGAAGAACCTTTTCCACAGAAAAACACTCTCACCGGCCCTGCTGCTGCTGATTTCGCTGTAGAGCAAGGCCCATTGACAGGCTCGTTTACAAGGTCACCTCTGTGTCAGTGGCACAAGCAATATGGCATATGCAAAACACCTCCTTTCGTCCCAGGCATCTGCCGTGTTGGTATTTACCGAGTGCCTCATCGCCAGCTGGCAGTAAGAACCCTGGCAGGGTGTCTGCTGAGCTGCTCAGCTTGGTAAATGGTCACACAGTGAGTTGCTGGGGGCAGCAAAGGCATCTTGTATGACTCCAACCCAGGAGGACCCGTGGAAGCTTGTGCCTGGTTTCCCCAAGTGCACCCCCTGTGCCTCGTCCCTTTGCTAACGTTTGACTGTGTGTCCTTGCCCTGGAAGAAGCTGACGTGAAGGCTGACTATCTACAAGTCCCTCCCAGGGCCTCTAACACATCACTGAAGCATGGGGGGTGGTCTCAAGGACCCCTCCAGCACACGACATCCTGAACTGGGACGTTTTCAACAGTTTCCTAAGAGTGGCGGAAGCCTTGTGCTTTAACATCTGCAAAGCCAGAAAGACCATTTTGCTTCTCATACGTACAGCAAATGAAATCCTAAGAAGGAAATGTAACCGTTTTCTGGGTGTGTGTGACGGGGGCGTTGTTTGTTTGCGGAGGTAAGATCTCACTGTGTTGCCCAGGCTGGCCTGGAACTCCTGGACTCAAGTAATCCTCACGCCTCAGCCTCCCTAAGTGCTGGCATTAAAGTTGAGAACCACCACCCCTGGCCAATAGCTTCGTATTTTGTTCATAAGGAAGCAAGTGAATTTCTCAATGTTAAGCAGTGCAGAGATTAATATGATTTATCATCTCATTTAATCTTCCCTCCCATCACAAAAATGAAGCAAGTTAAGCACAGGGAGCACAGACTCCTAACCTCAACTCACAGGTCTCGATGTAAACATAGTAATTTAACCTCTCAGTTTGGCCTGGCATGGTGGCTCATGCCTGTAATCCCAGGACTTTGGGAGGCTGAGGCGGGTGGATCACGAGGTCAAGAGATCGAGACCATCCTGGTCAACATGGTGAAACCCCGTCTCCACTAAAAATACAAAAAATTAGCTGGGCGTGGTGGTGCGTGCCTGTAATCCCAGCTACTCAGGAGCCTAATACAGGAGAATCCCTTAAACCTGGGAGGCGTGGGTTGCAGTGAGCCGAGATTGAGCCACTGCACTCCAGCCTGGGCGACGGGGAAGACATTGCCTCATAAATAAATAGGCCGGGCATGCTGGCTCATGCCTGTAATCCCAGGATTTTGGGAGGCCGAGGCAGGTGGATCACGAGGTCAAGAGATCTGGACCATCCTGGCCAACATGGTGAAACTCTGTCTATATTAAAAATACAAAAATTAGCTGCGGGGTGGTGGTGCCTGCCTGTAGTTCCAGCTACTTGGGAGGCTGAGGCAGGAGGGTCACTTGAACCCTGGAAGCAGAGGTTGCCGTGAGCCAAGATCACGTTATGCACTGTAGCCTGGTGAGAATGACACTCCCATCTCAAAAAAGTAATAAAAATAATTAAAAATAAGATACAGAAAAGTCAGCTGTAGTGGTGTTCACCTGTAGTCCCAGCTACTTAGGAGGCCGAGGCAGGAAAATCACTTGAACCCAGGAGGCAGAGCTTGCAGTGAGCCAAGGATCAAGCCACCGCACTTCAGCCTGGGCAACAGAGCGAGACTCAGTATCAAAAAAGAAAAGAAAGGCTGAGCGCAGTGGTTCACGCCTGTAATCCCAGCAGTTTGGGAGGCCAAGGTGGGTGGATGAGGTCAGCCTGACCAACATGGTGAAACCCATCTCTATTAAAAATACAAAAACTTAGCCAGCCATGGTGGTGCACACCTGTATCCCAGCTACTTAGGAGGGTGCGGCAGGATAACCACTCGGACCCAGGAGATGGAGGTTGCAGTGAGCCGAGATTGTGCCATTCCACTGCAGCCTGGGTAACGAGCAAAAAAAATTGTCTCACAGAAAAAAAAAGAAAATGTAGGCTCAGTGGTCACTGCCACCACTCAGCATCAACAAGGCCATGCATATGCATTCTTGGCTGCAACATTAGGGCAGGGTGAGGAAACAGGTACAGTTAAGGAACAAGATGCTCACTAGAGAAGTTATGTAAATGTAAGAGCTGGAGATAAAGGGGTTCACAGGAAGAGAGGAGATCACTAATTCAGTAACCTGGCATGGCCTGATGAAAACCACAGAGGTGGGCTGGGCTCGGTGGCTCACGCCTGTCATCCCAGCACTTTGGGAGGCCGAGGCGGGTGGATCACAAGGTCAAGAGATCGAGACCATCCTGGTCAACATGGTGAAACCCCGTCTCTACTAAAAATACAAAAAATTAGCTGGGCATGGTGGCGCGTGCCTGTAATCCCAGCTACTCGGGAGGCTGAGGCAGGAGAATCGCCTGAACCCAGGAGGGGGAAGTTGTGGTGAGCCGAGATCGCGCCATTGCACTCCAGCCTGGGTAACGAGCGAAACTCCGTCTCAAAAAAAAAAAAAAAAAACCCACAGAGGTATGGTGAAATCAAAGGACCCCTGTGTACCTGAATAGTAAGGAGGGTCCCTGGTGGGGATGCTTGTGGAAAAGTCTGCCCAGTGAGCTAAAGGAAACTAAAGTCAAGTGTCAGGTTGGCTCTGCGGCTGTTGTAGACTAGCAGAGCCAGAAGTGAGAATCATGTGTTGCGGCCAGATGGGGTGGCTCACACCTGGAATCCCAGCACTCCGGGAGGCTGAGGTGGGGGGATCACCTGAGGTTGGGAGTTTGGGACCAGCCTGACTAACATGGAGAAACCCTGTCTCTACTAAAAATAAATAAATAAAAATTAGCCAGGCGTGGTGGCACATGCCTGTAATCCCAGCTACTCGGGAGGCTGAGGCAGGAGAATCTCTTGAAACCAGGAGGAAGAGGATGCACCAAGATCATGCCACTGCTCTGCAGCCTGGGCAACAAGAGCGAAACTCGTGTCTAAAAAGACAGAAAGAAAGAAATGTGTTGCAATGTAGGTCCATAAGGGTACCATGTATTTGACTGCGGACAGCATGAACCAGTAATGGCTTCTTCACTTCTGCTTTTCAGATCTCACGTCGCTCTCTCTTCTCCTGAACTTTAACTCAGAACCATAACCAGAAGGGCCTCTGGGATGTGCCGTTTCTAACCTTACTAGGCCTGACGATACCAAGTGGAATAAGCTGTATATTGACTTTCCTCTTCGTGTCAAAGGTCTTTCTTCTGAAACGCAGTTTGTCCAATTTCCCACCAAGATCAAGGACAGTGAAAAAAGGTCAAACTGACCAGAAACCAATTGAGAGTGACGTCTTTTTTTTTTTTTTTTGAGATGGAGTTTCGCTCATGTCACCCAGGCTGCAGTGCAATCGCGCGACCTCGGCTCACCGCAAGCTCCGCCTCCTGAGTCCAGGCAATTCTCCTGCCTCAGCCTCCCGAGTAGCTGGGATTACAGGCACGCTCCACCGTGCCCAGCTAATATTTGTATTTTTAGTAGAGACGGGGTTTCACCATGTTGACCAGGATGGTCTCGATCTCTTGACCTCGTGATCCACCCGCCTTGGGATCCATCCAGCCTCCCAAAGTGCTGGGATTACAGGCTTGAGCCACCACGCCTGGCCTGAGAGTGACGTCTTTCAAGTCTTCTACAAGGACTCATGTATCTCAGTGACACACAAGTGGTATCCACAAGGAACAAACAAATGTGGAAGATACATTTTTTTCTTCTTTTTCTGGTACCTGGTATGTAGCTAGGAAGACACATTTTAAAATAATAAAGGCTGAAGGACACTGGGCATGGAGACTCATCCCTGCAATCCCAGCACTTTGGGAGGCCAAGGGAAAAGGACTGCCTGAGCCAAGAGTGCAATACCAGCCTGGGCAACATAGCAAGACACTATGTCTATTAAATACAATTTTTAATTTTAACAAATGAAGGAAAAGGTAGATAGGGGGACAGCAAATTCCAGTACCTGCAGTAGTGGACTGGAAAAGAAACGTCAACAGTGACAGTCTCACGATCACACACTGGAAACAACATGGAAAGTGGGGATCAGGCCGGGCATCGTGGCTCACACCCGTAATCACAGCACTTTGGGAGGCAGAGGTGGGCAGATAACCTGATGTCAGGAGTTCGAGATCAACCGGGTCAGTATGGTGAAAACCCCTATGCACTAAAAATACAAAAACTAGCTGGGAGTGGCAGTGGGTGCCCATAATCCCAGCTACTTGGGAGGCTGACGCAGGAGAATCACTCGAATCAGCGAGGTAGAGGTTGCAGTGAGCTGAGATTGCGCCACTGCACTCCAGCCTGGGCAGCACAGCAAGACTCCATCTCAAAAACAAACCAACAAACAAGAAAGTAGCAGTCAAAAATGTTTCATCTGAATTCACAGCAAGTGCTGCAGGAAAACAAAAAGCCACTTCCTCACCCTGGGTGCAAAAGACACTGCAATGGAACGAGACAAATATAATTACAAGTATTTACAGTCCTAAGTGACAGAACATACACAGTACAGCTGGAAGTGCACAAACAGGGTATCTATTATCAAGCGTTTACATCACAAACGTCAACTAGAAATTACACACAAAGAACCAGTATTAAGGCTGAGGCGTGTAAAGGTGGTACCCTATGAATTATAATTCAGACATTTCTCTCCTACTCTTATTACATAAAAAATAAGTCCTATACCAGAAGGTTTTCCTGCATCCTCTACATAAATAAGGCTTCTTGCCAGTGTTTTCTCATATTTACGAGTTTGTTTTTTTTTTTGAGACGGAGTTTCGCTCTTGTTACCCAGGCTGGAGTGCAGTGGTGCGATCTCGGCTCACCGCAACCTCCGCCTCCTGGGTTCAGGCAATTCTCCTGCCTCAGCCTCCCGAGTAGCTGGGATTACAGGCACGCGCCACCATGCCCAGCTAATTTTTTGTACTTTTAGTAGAGACGGGGTTTCACCATGTTGACCAGGATGGTCTCGATCTCTTGACCTCGTGATCCACCCGCCTCAGCCTCCCAAAGTGCTGGGATTACAGGCGTGAGCCACCATGCCTGGCCCATTTACAAGGTTTTAAGGTGGAACAGTCTCCCAGGTCTACTGTATTCGTAGATTCACACTCCTACATGTGTCCTCACATGTGCCTGGAGCGAAGCGAGATACCTGAAGGTTTTCCCACACTGCTGGCATTCGTATGGTCTCTCTCCAGTGTGCGTCCTCACGTGCACCCGAAGGGATGAGGAACAACTGTAGGCTTTCCCACATTCAGTGCATTCGTAGGGTTTGACTCCACTGTGTGCTCTCACGTGCTTTTGAAAATACTGAGCATGGCTGAAGGCTTTCCCACATTGCTTACATTCGTACGGTTTCTCTCCACTGTGGGTCCTCACATGCTCTCGAAGGGAGGAGTGACAGCTGAAGGCTTTCCCACAATGCTTACACTCAAAGGGCTTCTCTCCAGTGTGCGTCCTCACATGGATTCGAAGGGATGAGGAAAAACTGTAGGCTTTCCCACACTCCTTGCATTCGTAGAGTTTCAGGCCACTGTGTGTTTTCACATGTCTTCTGAAGTAGGTGGGACATCCGAAGGCCTTCCCACACTGCTTGCACATGTAGGGCTTCTCTCCGCTGTGCATTCTCACATGTGCTCGCAGGGAGGAGGGGTACCTGAAGGCTTTGCCGCATTCCTTACATTCATAGGGCTTCTCTCCGCTGTGCGTTCTCCCGTGTTCTCGGAGAGATGAGTAACACGTGAACGCTTTCCCGCAGTGTTTACACTGACAGGGTTTCTCTCCAGTGTGGGTCCTCACGTGATCCCTAAAGGAAGAGTAACAACTGAATGATTTTCCACAATGCTTACATTCGTACGGTTTCTCTCCAGTGTGTGTTCTGACGTGTTCTCGAAAGTACGAGGGACAACTGAAGGCCTTCCCACACTCCTTACATTCATAGGGTTTCTCTCCTGTGTGAGTTCTTATGTGCCGTGTAAGGTAGGAGTAATACATAAAGGTCTTCCCACATACTTTACATGCGTGGGTTTTCTGCCCATGGTGACCTTTCACACGTGCCCTGAAAGATGAGGGACTAGTGAAAGCTTGCCCACATTTCTTACATTCATAAGACTTTTTACTGCCGAGCCTTTTCACATAGGTTGCAGATGCTTTCCCTGGGTCCCGGCAATTGCCGGGTTGCTCTACAGTCTGAGTTTTCACAGGAGGGCTTTGGCAGGAGAGGCAGCTGCGGGCTTGTCCACATTCCTCACACAGATGCAGCCTCTCTCTGGTTTGAGATCTCTGGCACTTCTCGGAGGCCTTGCCACACTTAGTGCACTCAGAGGGTTTAGCTTCGGTAGGGTAACGTCTGTGCACAGGAAGGTTTGCAGTACGGCTCACGGTCTCTCCACACTGATGACCTTCATTACTGTCACAGAGGATCCGCAGCTGACTTCTGTTCAAAACAGGAAGCGCAATACTAGTCATTGGTGCTTCTCAGTGATTGATTTATCAAGGCATTTAGTGATTACTTTGATTACATGTTTGCCATTTTCACGGAATGGGGCTATTTCAGCACCGTCTGCCTTGTTTCTATGGGGAACAAGCTCAATGCTCTAGTTCAAAGTTCAACTGCAGCCATAAATTTCAGTTGTTTTTTTTTTAAGACAGGTCTCACTGTTGCCCTGGCTGGAGTGCGGTGGCTTGATCTTGGCTCACAGCAACCTCTGCCTCCTGAGTAGCTGGGATTACAGGCGTGCCTGGAGAATTTCTGTATTTTTAGTACAGCCGGGGTTTCATCATGTTGGCCAGGCTGGTCTTGAACTCCTGACCTCAGATGATCTGCTCACCTTGGCCTCCCTAAGTGCTGGGATTACACGCATGAGCCACCACACCTGGCCCACAGTGTTTCTTTCTTTTTTTCCTAGCTCCACCAAAGCAGAATCTTTATTTTTTCTGAGGTGGCGTCTCGCCTCTATTGCCAGGCTGGAGCGCAGTGGCGCAATCCCAGCTCACTACAACTTCCGTTTTCCAGTTTCTTTTTTTTTGAGACGGAGTTTTGCTCTTGTTGCCCAGGCTGGAGTGCAATGGCGCAATTTTGACTCACTGCAACCTCTATCTCCTGGGTTCAGGCAATTCTCCTGCCTCAGCCTCCCAAGTAGCTGGGATTACAGGCACGCACCACTGTGCCCAGCTAATTTTTTGTATTTCTAGTAGAGACGGGGTTTCACCATGTTGACCAGGATGGTCTCGATCTCTTGACTTAGTGATCCACCCGCCTCGGCCTCCCAAAGTGCTGGGATTACAGGCGTGAGCCACTGCGCCCGGCCCCATTTTCTATTTTCAAGTAATTCTCCTGCCTCAGCCTCCCAAGTAGCTGGGACTACAGGCACACACCACCACACCTGGCTCATTTTCCTTGTACTTTTAGTAGAGACGGGCTTTCACCAGGGCCAGGATGGTCTCAATCTCCTGACCTCATGATCCACCCACCTCAGCGGCCTCCCAAAGTGCTGGGATTACAGGCATGAGCCACCATGCCCGGCCCAGTGTTTCTTATACGTGAGGTTTCCTGATACTGTTTCCAGCTCTTTCAGACATGCGACATCAACATCACATTCATGAAAATACTCTTATGAAAGTCTTGGCCAGGCACAGTGGCTCACATCTCTAATTCCAGCACTCTGGGAGGCCGAGGCGGGTGGAATGCTTGAGTTCAGGAGTTTGATACCAGCCTAGGCAACATGGAGAAACTCCACCTCAACAAAAATACAAAAATTAGCCAAGTGTAGTGGTGTGTGCCTGTCTTCCCAGCTGCTCAGGAGGATGAGGTGGGAGGACTGATTCAGCCCAAGAGGCAAAGGTTGCAGTGAGCCAAAATCAGAGCCACTGCACTTCACCCTAGGTGACAGAGGGAGACCCCATCTCAAAAATAAATAAATAGGCCAGGTGCGGTGGTTCACACCTATAATACCGACACTTTGGGAGGCTGAGGTGGGCGGATTACGAGGTCAGGAGTTTGAGACCAGCCTGACCAGCCTGGTGAAACGTCATCTCTGCTAAAAATGCAAAAATATTAGCCAGGCGTGGTAGTATGCACCCGTAGCCCCAGCTACTCAGGAGGCTGAGGCAAGAGAATCACCTGAATCCGGGAGGTGGAAGTTGCAATGTGCCAAGATTGTGCCACTGCACCCCATCCAGCCTGGGCAACAGAGTAAGGCTCTGTCTCAAAAAATAAATAAATAAATAAATAGGCTGGGCACAGTGGCTCACACCTGTAATCCCAGCACTTTGGGAGGCCAAGGCAGGCAGATCACAAGGTGAGGAGATCGAGACCATCCTGGTTAACATGATGAAACCCCGTCTACACTAAAATACAAAACATTAGCCAGGCGTGGTGGTGCGCGCCTGTAGTCTCAGCTACTCGGAAGGCCAAGGCAGGGGAATTGCTTGAACCCGAGGGGCAAAGGTTGCAGTGAGCTGAGATCACGCCACTGCACTCTAGCCTGGCGGCAGAGCAAGACTCTGTCTCAGAATAAATTAATTAATTTAAATAAAAGTAATTATCAAAATAGATTTTTAAAAAGAGAAAATAAAGAAAAAGAAAAAACTGTCTGTGAGTGGAACTGAGTGTGGACCGTGAGGCTGTTCACACTTTTCTGCTAAGTGCACGCTGGTCTGACTCTGTGGAGAGGCCCCTCCCTCTGGCCGAGTGCCACTCACCTCAGGTGCCTCTCTGGGGTCTGGTGCTGATCTCCAGTGTTACCAAATCTCCAATTCTGTCCAAAAATACACCAGGACTCACTTCTCGTGAATTTTGCCATTTCCTCCTCATTGGATATTTTATTCCCGAAAACATCTCTCTGAGAACTTGATCCACTGGTTCTAACATAAATGCAACTACCTGGAACAATCCATCACACAGCTTCTTAGGGGAAAATATGTCGGCATAAAGGAAAGGAAAGAGATCACCCATGGATTTCTTTTCATACGCTAACCCAAAACTGAAACCACAGTTTATGGTTAGGAGGAACAGACATGCTACCAAAGTGAGACTCTGAGGTCCTCATGTGTTCGGGAATTTGGCAATAATAAAAACAGGCCAGCCGGGTGCAGTGGCTCATGCCTGTAATCTCAGTGCACTGGGAGGCCAAGGTAGGAGAATCGCTTGAGCCCGGGAGCTCGAGATGAGCCTGGGCAATGCAGAAAAGCAAGGAGGCCTCATCTCCAAATAACAAGAAAAAGTTTACATTAGCCAGGTGTGGTGGTGTGCCTGTAATCCCAGATCCTCAGGAGGCCAAGGAGGGAGGATCGCTTGAGCCCAGGAGCTCAAAGTTGCAGTGGGCCATGATCGCAGCACTACACTCCAGCCTGTGTGACAAAGCGAGACCCTGTCTCAAAAAAAGAAGAATAGGGCCAGGTGTGGTGGCTCACCTGAGGTCAGGATTTCAAAACCAGTCTGACGAACATGGTCAAACTCCGTCTCTGCTAAAAATGCAAAAAAATTAGCGGGGCACGGTGGCGCACACCTGTTACCCCAGCTACTTGGGAGGCTGAGGCAGGAGAATTGCTTGAACCCAGGAGAAAGAGGCTGCAGTGGGCCAAGACTGGGCCACTGCACTCCAGCCTGGGTGACAGAGCGAGACCCTGTCCCAAAAAAAGAAGACTAGATGAACACAGCAGCCTGTTTGCTAAGAAATAGAACAGTTCCAAGGCCGGGGGCAGAGGCTCACACCTGTAATCCAAGCACTTTGGGAGGCCAAGGCGGGAGGATCACAAGGTCAGGAGTTTGAGACCAGTCTGGCCAACATGGTGAAACCCTGTGTCTACTCAAAATACAAAACGTTAGCCGGGCAAGGTGGTGGGCATCGTAGCTGCTCAGGAGGCTGAGGCAGGAGAATGGCGGGAACCCAGGAGGTGGAGGTTGCAGTTAGCTGAGATCGCACCACTGCACTCCAGCCCAGGCAACAGGGCGAGACTCCATCTCAAAAACAACAGCAAAAAAAGAAATAGAATAGTTCCAAACTGATGGAGACTGATGTTAAGTAAAATATTATCAGAAAAGCAAAGGACGAAGTTGGTGGGGAAACGCACATGCGCAAATGCTCCTTTCACACGAGCACAAGCAGAGGCTTCCCGGGGAAGGACGGCAGTGCAGGAGGATGGAGGAAAAGCCACACAGGGCAGCTGAGAGAGGACACACCTCCTCCATCTCAGAGAGCCAAACAGAGCCTTCTTATCCAAAGCCACTCCTCCCGAGGGCTGCCGCTCTCCTGGTGCTCACAGGCACAGGGGCTGACGGGAGTCTGTCCTGCACGGTGCCCGGCTGCCCTCGGGCATGAGCACCACCCACTCCAGAGAATCACATGAGGAGGGAGGACCGTGAAGGGCATCAAACGTTTCCCCGACACAGGCCAACACTTCGGCCTCCCAGACCAGAGTGATGACTGCGTGTGAGTTTTAACCGCAGCAAAAGCACCACGTCGAATGTGGATCACTCACGGTGGAATTGTCATTTCCTTTATCGCAGCGGACTCGGACTTTCAAAGTCCAGTTCCTCTGTGGGGTGAACCCCAAAGCTGTGTTCACTGCCCCAGTAGGACACAGGACACTATGCTCACACTTGTGAGATGTGGGCAGCCTCAAGACTGGTGATTAAGAAAACCAAACCAGCAGCCGGGTGCAATGGCTCGCGCCTATGATGCCAGCACTCAGGCAGGCTGAGGCAGATGGATCATGAGGTCAGGAGTTCAAGACCAGCTTGGCCAAGATGGTGAAACCCCATCTCTACTAAAACTACAAAAATTAGCCAGGTGTGGTGGCAGGCGCCTATAATCCCAGCTACTCAGGAGACTGAAGCAGGAGAATCACCTGAACCCAGGCAACAGGTTGCAGTGAGCCAAGATCGTGCCACTGCATTCCAGCCTAGGAGACACAGTGAGACTCCATCTCAAAAAAAAAAAAAAGAAAGAAAAAGAAAGGGCTAGGCGAGGTGGCTCCAGCCTGTAATTCCAGCAGTTTGGGAGGCTGAGGCAGGCAGATCATGAGGTCAGGAGATTGAGACCATCCTGGCCAACATGATGAAACCCCGTCTTTACTAAAATACAAAAAATTAGCTGGGCATGGTGGTGTTCGTCTGTGATCTCAGCTACTCGGGGGGCTAAGGCAGGGGAATCACTTGAACCTGGGAGGTGGAGGTTGCAGTGAGCCGAGATTGCACCACTGCACTGCAGCCTGGCAACAGAGCAAGACTCTGTCTCAAAAAAAAAAGAAAAAAGAAAACCAAAGTATCAATAATACACACAACTTTGTTTTCATGGTGAAGCCTTTCAACTCCATATTCCACGGGGGTTGGGATCCTGTCTGTCTCTTTCCAACATATTTCTATTTCTGACCTCAAATAAAAAGCAAACCAAGGTATCTTTGCTCTCCAGGGACTTAGTGAAGGCATGAATCCTTACCCAAGGAGGCCAGGTTCCTGCAGATTTCCAGCATCACATCCCTGTAGAGTCTCCTCTGAGCATGACTCAGCAACGCCCACTCTTCCGGGGTGAACCTCACGGCCACTTCCTCAAAGACCACTGAGTCCTGAAACATCCCGCACAGCCACTTCAGCAAGGCCCCATCTCCCCCGTGTGCGCAGGAGGAGGGACGAGGCTGATAGGCTGGGGAACTGGACTCCACTCACGAACCCTGCGCCACACAGACCTTACGTTCTTGTCAGAGGTGACAAACAATGCAAAACGCACATGGTGAGCGCCTTCCAGACAGGAAGCAAAGCACGACAGCCTCTGGGGGAGATGCACAAATCACTGCTGAGAAAGGGCAGGTGTGAGGGCAGGGTGAACACTGGGAAACCTGAGAACATCACGAAGGTAAGGCTGGTGGCGCGTCCGTAATCCCAGTACTTTCAGCGGCTAAGGAGGACTGCTTAGCACCAAGAGTTGGAGACCAGCCTGGGCAACACAGCGAGATCCCATCTTCACCAAAAAATGAAATACAGTAAGTTAGCCAGGCATGGTGGCACACACCTGTAGTCCTTGCTCCTAGAGAGGGTGAGGAGGGACGATCGCTTGACCCCAGGGGTTCAAGGCTGCAGTGAACTGATTGTGCCACTGTACTCCAGCCTGGGCAACAAAGACCCAGTCTCAATAAAATCAATCGGCCGGGCGCGGTGGCTCACGCCTATAATCCCAGCATTTAGGGAGGCCGAGGCAGGTGGATCCCGAGGTCAAGAGATTGAGACCATCCTGGTCAACATAGTGAAACCCCGTCTCTACTAAAAATACAAAAAATTAGCCAGGCATTGTGGTGGGTGCCTGTAATCCCAGCTACTCCGGAGGCTGAGGCAGGAGAATTGCCTGAACCCAGGAGGCGGAGGTTGCTGTGAGCCGAGATCGTGCCATTGCACTCCAGCCTGGGTAACAAGAGTGAAACTCCGTCTCAAAAAAAAAAATGAATAAATAAATGGAATGAAATAAATCATTCAGGTAACATGGAAATTGACGTGACTTAGTCAAACTTTATTATTTCTTATTCAGCTATAGTATCAGCACTTTGGGAGGCCAAGGTAGGAAGATCACTTGAGGCCACGAGTTCAACACCAACCTGGGTAAGAGAGCAAAACTCTGTCTCTAAAAAAAAAAAATTAAATTAAATTAATTTTAAGAATAAAAATACTAAGAAAAGCGAGCAGATTATTTCCCTTTAATTTAGGATAGTGGCTGGGTGAGGTGGCTCACACCTGTAATCCCAACACTTTGGGAGGCCGAGGCAGGCAGATCACTTGAGCTCAAAAGTTCAAGACCAGCCTGGACAACATAGTAAAAAAAAAAAAAAAAAAAAGCTAAAAAAAAAATTTAGGATATTGTATTGGCCTGACGTGGAGGGAGAAGTCTACCATTACGTGTATATACATATATTTTTTGAGACAGAGTCTCTCTCTGTTGCCAGGCTGGAGTGAAATGGTGTGATCTTGGCTCACTGCAATCTCTGCCTCTCGGGGTTCAAGCGATTTACCTGCCTCAGGCTCCCAAGTAGCTGGGACTGCAGGCGTGCGCCTTACGCCCGGCAAAATTCTGTGTATTTTAGTAGAGATGGGGTTTCTCCATGTTGGCCAGGATCGTCTGGATCTCCTGACTTTGTGATCCGCCTGCTTCAGCCACCAAAAGCGCTGGGATTACAAGTGTGAGCTACACACCCAGCCACATATCATTTCAGATGGGGGGTCAATGCTTCTTCCAAGACACGGCCTGGCTGTGGTTACACGCACTGCACTTTAAGATGTTTCAGCTGACTCTGCAATTGTCTTACAAAAGTTCTACCTGTGTTCTATTTTACAATATAATGCTATCAGCAGCCGGGCGCAGTGGCTCACGCCTGTAATCCCAGCACTTTGGGAGGCCGAGGTGGGTGGATCACGAGGTCAAGAGATCGAGACCATCCTGGTCAACAAGGTGAAACCCTGTCTCTACTAAAAATACAAAAAATTAGCTGGGCATGGTGGCGCGTGCATGTAATCCCAGCTACTCAGGAGGCTGAGGCAGGAGAATTGCCTGAACCCAGAAGGCGGAGGTTGTGGTGAGCCGAGATTGCACCATTGCACTCCAGCTGGGGTAACAAGAGCAAAACTCCGTCTCAAAAAAAAAAAAAAAAATTAGCCAGCTGTGGTGGTGCGCCCCTGTAATCCCAGCTACTTGGGAGGCTGAGGCAGGAGAATCATTTGAACCCAGTAGGCGGAGGTTGCAGTCAACCGAGATCGAGCCATTGCACTCCAGCCTGGGCGACAGAGCGAGACTGTCTCAAAAAAATAAAAATAAGAACGCTGCCAAATCACCACTTTCAGCCTGGGTTAAAGGACAAAGGGGTGAGGGGTGGATTCCAGAAGACTAATCTAGAAGTTTTTTAATCCCACAAACAGTCCCCTGCAGAAAACAGCTACCAAAGATTATCCTCATGACAATTGTTTGTCAATCAGCTAATCAGAATGGACCCTTCTCAGTACTGCAGGATGTATTTTACAGAATTCACACCCATCTGACGTGCAGAGACAAGCAGGAGACGGAGCAGGAGACATTTACCACAATCTCTGCCCCGTGCCTAAGTCGGTGCTAGTTCCGTGCATCTCTTCCACCCACACCTCCCACCTCGCAGTAAGGTGTGGGGCTGTGTGCGCAGCTTCCCCTCGTCCTGATGGAAGATGCAACGTTTTCCGAATTTGAGAGTTTTCCACAGCAGCCTTCTCAGGCTCAGCCACAGAATAACACCAGGCAGGGGCAGAAAGCAAAGAACACATCCGAGACACTCACTGCCCTCACCAAGGACAGGAAACAATGCAAAAAGCATTATAATTTTGTTTTGAGACAGTCTCGCTGTTGCCCAGGCCGGAGGGCAGTGGTGCAGCTGCAAACCCGTGGGTTCAAGCGATTCTTGCCGCTCAGCCGCTCAAGTGGCTGGGACCAGAGTGCCCATCACCGTGCCCAGCCTCATTATTTTACATTTACTGAAACCTGGGGCTGAAATAGGAGCAAAACTCATGCTGGGCTGGACACAGACGAGGCTGTTCTCAGCTGTCAGGTGACAATGCTGAACCGACTTCAACTCTGTGTGCCCAGAAACCAGAAAAGGTGAAACCATTTCCCCACCCTGCTAGGCGCTGGAACTGGGCACAGCAAAGACCTCCCTTCCCATACCACTAAGATTCCTGCAGATGACTAGGCCAGACTCAGACCCCCTGAGGCCCTATTCTTTGTCTCAGAAATGATTCGCCGACCTGGTTGTCCCCACTATTCAATCAGAACAAAATGCTCGATAGTCCAAGTTTGGGTTCAGCGTCCTTCCTTCTCCAGGGCCCTGCATGGTTCCACCCTCCGCCAGGCGGCAGCGCCTCCAGAGAACAGGCCAGCATCAGGATTACTGGATTCACTCTCCAGGGTTACTGGCATTTTTTTGGGGGGGGGGGGTACGGAGTTTCGCTCTTGTTGCCCAGACTAGAATGCAGTGGCGAAATCTCGGCTCACGACAACCTCTGCCTCCCCAGTTCAAGCGATTCTCCTGCTTCGGCCTCCTGAGTAGCTGGGATTACAGGCATGCGCCACCATGCCTGACTAATTTTGTATTTTTTGTAGACATGGGGTTTCACCATGTTGACCAGGATGGTCTCGATCTTTTGACCTCGTGATCCACCCGCCTCGGCCTCCCAAAGTGCTGGGATTACAGGCGTGGGCCACTGCGCCTGGCCAGATGCTGGCCTTTTATTCCACTTCCCCACAGCTGACTGCTGATAGTCTTGTTCACTCCGATCCATAAAAGAACAACGCCTCAAGGCCAGGTGCAATAGCCCATGCCTATAGCCTCACTTTATGAGGCCCAGGTGTTTGAGACCAGCCTGGGCAACATATTTTTCTCAACAAGAAAAAAAAAATTTGACAAGGTCTCACTATATTGCCAAGGCTGGTCTCCACCTTCTGGTCTCAAGTGATCCTCCTGCCTCAGCTTCCCAAAGTACTGGGATGACAGGTGTGAGCCACCGCCTGGCTGTTAAAAATTTTTGTAAGAATTAGCTGGGTGCAGCGGCGTATGACTATAGTCCCGGCAACTCAGGAGGCTGAGTCCAGAAGGTTGAGGCTGCAGTGAGCCGTGATCACACCACTGCACTCCAGCCTGGGCAACAGAGTGAGACCTGACTAAAAGAAAGAAAGAAAAGAAAACTTTTGTGCTAGCCAACGCTTTTCTTCTTTTTTCTTGAGACGGAGTCTCACTCTGTTGCCCAGGCTGGAGTGCAGTGGTGCGATCTCAGCTCACTGCAAACTCTGCTTCCCAGGTTCAAGTGATTCTGCCTGCCTGGGCCTCCCAAAGTGCTGGATGATGGGCGTGAGCCACCGCGCCCATCCTAACAATCCTTTCTCCATAGAAGTCTCCCTTCTATGTCTGGGTTATTGTACAGTCTTGACCACGTGTTCACAGCATCCCATTTCTTCCCCAGACGTTACTCAGCCTTCTGTCCTCTCCACAGGCCCCTGAACTTTCAGTGGCCCCCTTAGTCTGATCAAGCAGTAAGTGTGGAGCCCCCCGTCACCTCCCCTGAGCTAGCTGATCACGAGGAGGTACACTGACTGTTAACCACGCCCCCCCTTCTGTTTGTCGCCTAAAAAGTTCCTCCAAACCCCTTCCTGTGTATAAAAGTAAAGCCTTAGGCTGGGCGCGGTGGCTCACGCCTGTAATCCCAGCACTTTGGGAGGCCGAGGCGGGTGGATCACGAGGTCAAGAGATCGAGACCATCCTGGTCAACATGGTGAAACCCCGTCTCTACTAAAAATACAAAAAATTAGCTGGGCACGGTGGTGCGTGCCTGTAATCCCAGCTACTCGGGAGGCTGAGGCAGGAGAATTGCCTGAACCCAGGAGGTGGAGGTTGCGGTGAGCCGAGATCGCGCCATTGCACTCCAGCCTGGGTAACAAGAGAAACTCCGTCTCAAAAAAAAAGGAAAGGCTTTCCCTGCTTGAGAGCTGGCAGCTTTCCGAGGCTGGGGCTTCTCCCTTTCTCTCTCTCCTCTAGCCAGGATTTTATTTTTATTTGACAGGCTTCAG